CAGCGCGCCGGACGAGAGGGCTGACTGGGGCGGATCAGCGCAGAGCGCCGGACAAGAGGGCTGACTGGGGCAGATCAGTGCAGCGCGCCGGACGTGATTGGGATGGCTGACATGTGTGGAGCTGCATCTCTCTTTGGAAGGGTCTTTGTCTCCTCACGCTGTCCTCGGTGACTGTCAATATTCAACCCAAATTGCCCCAATAGTCGCCATAAAGGCAAGCAAGAACAACAGATTTCTCTCCATTTTCTGAGCAATACCGTCTTCGTTCCAAACTCAATGACTTTTGTGGAGTCACGCTGATGGTGTCTGCAAGTGCGGCACGCCATCACCCATCATCTGCAGCTGTAGCCGCTGATCGCTGGTGGACGCGAGGACAAGCAGCAGACGACACTAACATAGGTAGCACGAAAATTCGTCGCGTCTGTGCAGCTAGATGTTATCGTAAGCGTCTGGAAAACTTCACTCGTCAGCAGAATGAGCCTTGTCAGTTTTCGCAATGGCACCTTATGAAGAATACCGTATCCACCGAATCTACGAACAAACATAATTGTCACCCACATTTGCCTCAGTTTACCTGGTGATTTCAAGCCCGACTGCGGCGTATTGACCCAGCAAATCAATACCCCATCCTGTGTGTCAAGTCGAATTGGGGCTGCTCACTTACACGTATGGTTGCAGGGAATTTGGATTTACATCGATTGGTATCCTTTGTGTCTGCGAATTCATTTCCATCGATCAGATATTTCTAGTGCCCCAAATTTTTGCTGGGAGCACAGGGCTATCGGTTGACTCCAAAACATTTTTCGCCACTAATTTATCGCTCGTATTGCGAGCGTATCGTTAGCGTCAGTAAATGATCTTCCGATAATGGAGCTCGTCAGCACTGACAGCAAACTTTTAACATCACCACCACGGTCATTATACAAACATTCCTCACAGTTTTACAGAAAGGTTGAAAACAAGCATTAGTACCACAATTCACGGATGAAATATTTGTTTCGATTGTCGTCCTTGTCTAGTGTGTAAGTTTGTGTTATCTAATACACCAGGCAAGAGCAATAGTCAGAACTATTACTCCATCCGGAACACATTTGCTCACATCAAGTTCGTAGTGTGAACCGCGCTCGGCTGACAGCTTATCTTGGATAAATATTCAGAACGTTTTTCTCGGAATGACATTTGACTGTGTGAACTTGGAGGATTATGGTAGCTAACTTTCCAGGCTGAGGACAAATCTGTGATATTTTTCAGAGCTTGGTCAAGACGGGGAATTTTTCTACATCATGGCTAGGTATGGACATTTACTATGCGCGCTGCACTCATAAGAAAACCTCAGGATAATTTCAGGATCCGCCGGACGTAAATGTGAAATTTTCGTCAGCGGTTATCAGAGGAATCGCTATTCGTTAAATAACTTTATCGCGGCCGAATGCGCCTATTCATAGGCTGCTTCTGGCTTAAGGGGTCGTATCAGTGCGTTGAGCTTATTTTTGTTTATTTACAGGCTATTTTATTGGCCAGTAAGGTATACACACTTCTTGAAGCTGCATTTCACAGTTCCCCAAAGAATGCTTGTGGTGCCCTGTAGGCTAAAGGGGATGTTCCACATTTGGACATTTTGAAATGAGTATCAGATATGATGGGAAAAGCCTACTTGTAACTGTTGGTAAGCTTTCAAGGTTCAGAAACGACCCTAAGTAGCAAAATTTCAAAGTTTGTTAGGATGCGCCCCTTTACGTCATTGTTCGATGGCGTCATGGAATGGTTTTGTGATGACAGCACTACCTGGTAGCATCTGGCAGCCAGGCCTAAAGAATACCTCGAAGCACACGAAAGCTGAGGCCAACCGGCCAGCCTCGTCGCGGGATCTGTATTGGGTGGCGGGTTAGCGAATGGCTTGTTTGTGGATTTTTCCCTTGGTACTGATCCTAAGGGAAGCTTTGGTGGGCTGTTTGACATACGCAGCGTAGCGATCGCCAGCTTTTAGGGCAGATTTTTAACACTGTTGACTTATCCTTGCCTGCAGAGCTTTAGTCTTGACATTGATATCATGTGATGTGCACAGTAGTTTTGATTTAATTAGTGATTTTCAATGCACTGCAATTTTGCAGGTGGCATTCACACTGCAGTGACATGAATACCTGATTAGGGCTTAACTTCTGGCCTAGTTTATTTCGTTGGCTGTGTCGTAATTCAACCTCCTGTCCTCAGCGACAAGAGGCATTCGAGAGGCTGTTCAGGGTAAGCCGGCTGAATGATGCGATCAAGGTAGAAATTGACTTGCGATTAACCAAACCGTCTTTTAAAGATACCGAAAAGGCTGTTGACTCATTGGAGCAGTCACAAGCGACCAGCCTTCTTCCCTTTCAAAAAAACCGTGAATTTTATGTTGAGGACCGGTGGCATGGCAATGATGGCAAGGTTCATGAAGAAAAACAACGGGAGATGATAATAGTTATAAAACATCAATTTATGCCATTTTTGTGCTTGTCCTGATTGATAATGGTTACCAGTCACACATAACTTCAAATGAGGGGTGCTCCTACTTCTTATTCAGTTCCGGGCTCCATCCCCCCCCCCCCTAGGTTTGTGAAGAGGTGTGCTTTTCTGGGAAACATTCATATTTGGGGGTACATTGCATAATTTTTCACTGCTCCCTAAGCTTTCTTCAAAAACTATGCTCCTGCTTGAAATGCAATAATGTCATGAATGTTCTGAGAGTTTTTAAACAAGTATTCACAGTTCAATCTTTTATCAACGTGAATCTTGGCTGCGGGAAATTTATGTGATACCCAAATGTGTAGGCCATGAGATGGCAAGGGAAGTGAGGAGCGAAATGGTGTAGGAAATGAAGGCAACGAGGAGAGGGGTACAGGTTTCATTGCCGTGTCGCCTTTACCAAGTTTTACTTCAAATATCAAGTGGTTTCATGTTATTGTTGTCCAGCTGTCCAATAAGGTCAGTGAAAAGTTGGCATTTGATTGCCTCTGAGGACAATGTTGGCTATTTCCTCATGACAGCACCCCTACTGTAACAGGAAGGCTCTAAAAGTCATTCAGTCTGCAGCGCTCATTCTGGCGACTGGCGACAATTTTCCTCCAAAACTTTGGTCAGCGACAAAAAGTACACCTTTATCACCCCTGTCTTCCAGTAGCTGCTGCACCTCGTTTCAGTTGTCATTTTGCCACATATTTTCCTACAGACTAAGCATCAAAATGGCAGGATGCATCATGATCTGGAGAAAATGAGCGGGCTCTATTACACACACACGCACATATATATATATATATATATATATATATATATATATATATATATATATGCACATCTCGGCAGAATCCTTTCTGGTCTGCATGCGCGATTAAAGATGATTGCTAACTCAGCATTCACGTGCTTTTTAATGCATTGTTCTAGTTTTTTTGGCTTTTTAGATTCGTCAGTCTTTACATCCTTACGTTTCTAGATCTTATCTCATCGTCGGGGAAGACTGAATGGCACAAGGAATAAGTTTCTAACTTTATGGGATGAAAATAATTGATCTTTTTGGAAAACATCTTGTGGTACGGAGAACACAAATAAAGCATGCCCAGATGAAATAAGATAACATCCTCTTCTTATTTCGCTACATATAAAATACGTTCATATTGGAAACACTACAAAGACAAGAATACATTGCCACAATCACATTAATAGTACTCATCACCCACCACGTAATTCAAGGGTTGTACATATCATATAGTTTAAGTGTAAAAATTGACGAATGTATGAGTGTTTTATACGAGCCTTTTTTAATGTAAGCGATGATGCCAATACGATAACAAAGTCTTGCACAACCCTTGAATTATTAGGTGGTGGGCGGTTAGCACTATTCATGTGCTTGTGACAATATATTCGTGTCTTTGTAGTGTTCCCATTATGAGTGTATTTCATATGTATCAAAGTTAAAATACGATTTTGTCTTACTTCAACTGGCAACGCTCCATTTGTGTTCTCAATACCAAGAGATGTTTTCCAATAATAATACACACGATTTTCATCCTGTGAAACTAAAAACTTTTGTATTGTGCCATTCAGTCTTCTCTGACGATGAGATAAGATCTCGAAACGTGAGAATGCAAAGATTGACGAATATATGAGTGATTTTGTACAGGTCATCTTTAATCTAAGCGATAATGCCAAGTCAAAAGCCCGGAAACTAGGACGATGCATAAAAAGCTGATTGTGCTGTGCTGATTTGACGGTCATTTTTAATCGAACATATATATATATATATATATATATATATATATATATATATATATATACATATATATATATATATCAGGTTCAGGCCATATTCATGGTCGCTCTTTTTATGCTACTGTGAGATATGCCCCTACACGCTGTGGCACTCGGAGAGGTGCCCTACATTTTGCGCTGCCTGCTTCGCGGCGTGGACATTTGTTTGAAATGTCGCGGTATGGAATTGCCCGCATGTGTTGCGCTTGGAGACTAGCACCTGTCCGTTTCGTCGTTTAAAGAAGCATCAGCTTTCTGCGCTACCCTCTACACCACGAAGTAAACCGCCATGCTGCGATTTTTGAGAGGCGCCTCGGACTGCCGCGGCACAGGTAGAAGTCCCAGTCCGTCACGCCGCTGAAAGACGTGCTGGCTGTATAGAGACATGTTGAAATCAATTACTTTACTTGTACAAGACACTCAGACACGGGATGTCGGGATGTACAAGACCCTCAGTCACGGTACCGTTCCTATGAATTACTGATGCGCATCCTTAAATCACATTATACGGCACGACATTGCGTCTGTTGCAATCCGGGTATTGCACAAAGCGACTGACAGCGGATATCTAAGCCGTCCATTCAATGCTCCCAGACGCGCCACCAACTGAGGTGCGCCCAGTGACGTCAAGCAGTGGGTTGCGCAATGACCACACAAATCGTTTGATGACTTCGTGGTGTGAAAAGCCTTGATTTGTTTACAGTCGTGTCGTGCAGCGCGCCGGTCCAGGGTAGGATGGTTCATTCGATGATCTATGCGTTGAGAGGATGGATTGCGTTTGTTGCGTTCATAAGTATGGCGACAGCAATAAGATGCTTCTTAGACACTGAAAACTACCTCGGTAAACAGTTCTTTTCTGGAGGTGCTCAGTACACGCCAGGTAAGTGTCAAGCTGTGATTATGTGGGCCTGTTGTTGATCTTACGTATTCATGAGATTGATGTCACTTATGATTGAAGCATTTCAGTTTCCAGGTGAAAACTGAGCTTTGGGTAATTATCTGCAGTTTCCATAGATTCATCACAACCAAAAGGTATACTCCAGCAAGGGCTTTGACTCGGTGCTTAGGAAGCAGATATTCCATATTCCTGTAAAAAATTAGCAAACATTGAAGTAGTTCTCACATTGATCCTGGATCCTGGATCCAGATCTCACATTGGTCCTGTTTATAGATGATGAGTAAACAGTGTTCACATGCTGTGATGGTCTCAAATGCAATCAACAACCTAGTTTGAATTATTTTCTAAACATAAATTCTCTAAGAACTAGACACCTCAGTCATTCCACATCCACATGCTGCACATATTGGTGACCAGGCTGCAGGCAAAGATTTGTGGCAGGAATGCACAATGACCATTCTATTTTCTACCAAAGGCTTGTACACAAAACTGCCTTTCTGCAGTTGGCAATCAAAGCTGCTGCTCTCCCTAGCCTATGGAAACTTAAAGACAATATGTTACTTTGTCTGTTTGACTGGACTATTCAACTACTGAACTGAATTCATGTAACTCAACAACTTGATATAATTCATGCCTAATGCAACTGATCAATATCAGCTGTTATTATCCAACATGGACATTGAAAGTTTTCCAAATTTCGGGAGGGGCCAGGTTATTTTCAATCATATGTTTCCAGTGATGTTCATAGGACTAATGCTAGATTATCAAAGTTGGTAGGACTAGCTCTCCCCTCCCCCCAGCTCTTTATGCTGCTGGTGGTTACCCATATTTGTCATGATTCTTGTTACAATCATGGAAGTTACCAGTAAGCAGCCAGCAGACAGGACATGCGGAACAATGATCAAGGCTCAGTGCATGCTATTTTTAGCATCCAGGGAAGTATACTAATTAGCTTCCACATATGCTTAGCGGTTGATCATGATTTTCAGTTGGAGTGAAAATGATTACCAATTCTGGGGAATATTAATCATCTAGAACCATAGGGTGGGCAAAATTACCAGAGATAGTGCATAAACTTTAATGGCTTTGTCAGTACTATTAGCTCAGAATGGGTAAGCAAAGTACGCAGGGCCAAAGAAATATAGAATATTTTGAATTATACCAGTCCAAGGTGGAAGTCAATAATAAACTTGAAATACTACATATGAATCAAAATGGTACAAAGGTAAGGCAGGACACAATGAACACAATGAACAATAGAAGTACAAATACCTTTGGAAATTGCACGGTAATACGTGGCATTGTCACCTACAAAGTGGCTGCATACTTTGGTACCGATGATGGTGCTGCGCCGGTGCTTCCCAGATCCGAAAATCGGAGCCGATCCTGAACTGGCTCAAAAAATTTGAAGTGAACGCAAGTGTGTGTAGATAAGCCAAACTCTCACGGCGTATTGGATCAAAGTTTTCATCCAGGATATGATGTGAATTTTCCGACTTTCGGGACATTTCGTATGGTGCCAATGCCCCAGTCGGTCTCGTGCCAGGTCCATGATTGTGAAAGGTTGACGTTCAAGGCCCGGGCATTCCGGAATTTTGCTGCCGGTTCCCTGTGATACACGCCGAATTGTTTGCGAGCAGCCGATACATGCTATTTGCGTATTGCAGTAGAAAATTTCTTGAATCTCCCAACAATTCTGGACCTTGGCATCGATTTAAACTGAATAAGTTCGCTATTGTAGCATCCGAGCCACGTTGCCTTCAGTTACAGGCTACCAAATGTTTAGCGTACAAAGTTTTAGCTCCTAAATGAAAATGGAATGCAAATCTAAAACACTCCAGTAGATATCTCGCATTCTACTGTCACCTATGTACTGAATTTCGTTCTACCCGTACGTGCACAACGTTTCGGTCAGTTTGTTTTCGGCCGTTGGCAGGTGGCCATCCACTCCTGAGAAAGACTGGATGGTGTGTAGCTTTCATCCATGCTCTCGTTACGACCCGAATTTTCTTGTTAGAATGGCTGGGGTTTGAACCGGGGTATTCTAGCATGCGTCCAACTGAGCTGACCGGAAGAGAAGATCTTTCTGTGTTCAGCTTTGCGTCATTCATCTCTCGGATGTATGTGGATTTTTCCACAGAAATGCGAGGAATTGATTGGGTTGTTAGTCGATGTCACGTGAGTTGCTTCCATGATCTTTCTAACTTTTTAAAAGAATAAATCCAAACCTTTTGAACATGTCAATTTCTGGGATCAGAGCTCTTGCTAAGCAGTGCTTGTTGTGTGAGTCCTGTCTGCTAACATTCTATCGTGCAATTCCAGGTCAACTGCAGACTTTGGTGGCGAAAGCTTAACGTGCCGCAATGCTCGGCACGGTCCATCCTACCCTCTGACGTCACCTGACCTTAAACGCGACCGATGCTGCCGGCCGGAGGCCATCATTGTCAAATGCAAATTTTCCAGTGTTGCCCTTCGTCAGTGATGGTTTTCTTAGCTCATGCTGGTCGCTGATCGCGTTCTGACCATGCATGCTATAAACGGAACATTATGTACGTACATACACACCAGACGTACATTTTGTACGTACAAACACACCAGACGGAACATGATGCACGTACAAACACACCAGACGGAACGTGATGCACGTACAAACACACCAGACGGAACATGATGTGCGTACAAACACACCAGACGGAACATGATGTACGTACAAACACACCAGACGGAACATGATGTACGTACAAACACACCAGACGGAACATGATGTGCGTACAAACACACCAGACGGAACATGATGTACGTACAAACACACCAGACGGAACATGATGTGCGTACAAACACACCGACGGAACATGAGTGTACGTCAACAAACAACCAGACGGAACATGATGCACGTACAAAACACACCAGACGGAACATGATGTACGTACAAACACACCAGACGGAACATGATGTACGTACAAACACACCAGACGGAACATGATGTACGTACAAACACACCAGACGGAACATGATGTACGTACAAACACACCAGATGGAACATGATATACGTACAAACACACCAGACGGAACATGATGCACGTACAAAACACACCAGACGGAACATGATGTGCGTACAAACACACCAGCAACGGAACATGATGTGCGTACAACACACCAGACGGAACATGATGTGCGTACAAACACCAGACGGAACATGATGTGCGTACAAACACACCAGACGGAACATGATGCACGTACAAACACACCAGACGGAACATGATGTGCGTACAAACACACCAGACGGAACATGATGCACGTACAAACACACCAGACGGAACATGATGCACGTACAAACACACCAGACGGAACATGATGCACGTACAAACACACCAGACGGAACATGATGTGCGTACAAACACACCAGACGGAACATGATGCACGTACAAACACACCAGACGGAACATGATGTGCGTACAAACACACCAGACGGAACATGATGTGCGTACAAACACACCAGACGGAACATGATGTGCGTACAAACACACCAGACGGAACATGATGTGCGTACAAACACACCAGACGAGGACGATGGTTCGAACAATTGCTTTATCCGTGTTTGCTGGAACCTCGTTTCGGTCTTTCCATAGAACTTCTCTCTATCTGCCCAAGTGCCGATTGGAGGCCACCATGTAGGCATTTACCTATCCGGGGGGAGCCACTTGGAACCACCTGCTTCAAACCAACACTATGAATGCATCTGCGGGAAGATTTAAAACTCTTATTTTTAACGCAAATACTAGGCCGTGCACTTTGGGTCTGAGTCCATGTGAAGGTTTTGCCAGATGCTGGTGACCAGGAATCTGTCCGTCTTTCAATTTTGGTCCCTGGTTCCCTCTGGTTTGTTCAAAAAATAATCCTGGATCCTGGTGGGTTCTTGCTTGTCCATTCGATGAAACAAAATCCTGAGTCTTGGTTCCCTCAACAAGCCTCAAGCACTATCACCTGGATGATGCCCCCATTTGCAACATAAACAGTCAAAAGTCACACCATAGACGTGTGTAACGGTCAGAATGTCCTGGTGCCCCGCTACAAGTTGTTCAGTTTTACTGTTAGTTGAAGATCATTGCCTTGCTTGAGGGTGCCCGTAGCGTAATGCTTAACGCACCTGCGCTAATCACTGCGCGTCTGGGAAACCAGAGGTGCGGGGTTCGATTCCCCGCGATACCCGTCCTTCCAGCCAGGGTGAGAGGCAGTCGACGCCATATAGCTTCAGCAGCTGAGTGCGTCGTAAAGCCCCATTGGCAACAACAACAAAGATAATTGCCTTACATTTGCAAATAGGCACCTGGCAGCTGAAACCATGTGCTCATCATTGCACAATGGTAGGGATGGGTTTTATCAATATTGAACTAATCAACCACATAAGGATCTTGCAATTCCCCACTTTATTTGGAGGTAATGAAAACACTGTTAGAATGGCATATCCTGGCGGAATGGCAGGATTTGAATGACGTTATGGCGGTATGGGTGCTTGAGTGGCTTTGCAATAGTATCGCCAAAATAGGCGGCACATTTTCGCGGGCGTGTAGCTCAAAAACAAGAACGGCTTAGGCCTTAAGAAGGGTAGGGCTGTGCGCTGCACCAAATGATCTTCAAGATGGTTATTTTGGTTCTAAACGCCACACAAATTGAATAGTAGCCTTAATATGGAGAGCCTAAAGAGATGATAAAGACCTGCTTCTCATAATACGTGCTCCAAATTGATTCGCCGGCGCTCATGAAACAACTTGTGATCTCATAACGCCTGTAGCCCTTCCTGTAGCAAGTAAAACTAGTTGAAAAAGCATAGCACTCCCCTGTTTAAAAGCATAGTACATACCCATTACTTGTACTTTGTGTTCATTCATCTCTATATGTGCACTGAACATACGTTTTTTGTTTCAAGCTAGCACATGTATAACATTTACCGATTGGACTTTTTGCGTGTGAAGTAGTGGTTTTAAAGGAACTGGAGACCTAAAAGCCAACCCGTAGATGTGCTTGGAGCAAATACAAAATAATGACGCCTGTGGACATTTCTGTCACTGCCGTTGACTGCGCTGCTGAGTATCATAGGCTGTGCATGTTTGTCTGTGTGCTTGACGTGCATTGCATGCATAATAACTTGCGTTTTTGCGTTTCAGTGACACCAGGACTGGGCCGAATATTTGGAACATTTCATGCCCTGCAGGCTGTTATCCTGATCCACAGTGCCTTCAGAATCGAGTATTACCCGTAAGTTGCGCGCGGTTGGGGGTGAACATTAAAGGGAGCAAATGACAGGAGGTTTTCGCTCGCTCCGCTGTTCGAACGGACGTCGCTGCTGTCGTCGGAACTCCACCGCCAGTGGCGTGACGTAGGCGTGTGTGTCGATGATTTGAAGCAGATTTTAGTTAAACAGGCACTTACCTAGAATTTCCCCCAGGGAAGGAATTGACAAAGGATGAGTGAGGCAGATTTGGAATTTCCTTCAAACCCCTGTGAATTTGGACCGCGTCTCTGCGAAATCGAGCCGTATTTAGCGGAAACCTAATGGCTCATGGTGGCCATGGCACCATACTCCCCCTCTCCTGGCTACGTCCGGAAGCAACATTGGTAAACTGATAAACACTCATGGATCACTTGGACGTATTGCTCTGTTCTGCTCACTTCGGTTGTTCTAAGGTTACAGTGCCGTCAATATGGAGTCCCCTGTTTGCGGGAATGCTATATTCATATTTGCTCATGCCCTGCGACAGGTTTTCAACGGTTTGCCCCTTGTCCATGTTATTTCTACTACTTATGCTTATATATATATATATATATATATATATATATATATTTGTATATGTATATGCACACACATATGTATATATATATATATATATATATATATATATATATATATATATATGCATATACATATATATATATATATATATATATATATATATCGTGTGTGTACTTCTAAAAAGGATTCATTTCAAATGCGTTGCTAGTCGTCTATGTGCTGATTATGAAGGTGCCTGTCATTTCACGTTTTGTTACAGTCTCTGAACTTAAGATGTCAACGTTCAACGTCATCAACGATTAAGGGTGCTGACCCGGACCTTTGTGATGATGCTTAAAAGTGTCACCAGTAGTCATTGACATGTTCATAACGACTGTGAGTGCCGTTTCTCGTCACATGAAAACTGACGCACATAGGTCACCATTAGAAACTATCGTATTTTTTCCGTCATTCATATCTCTGGTGGCGTTGAACAACGCACATGCCCATTTTGATTGTGGAGCTGGAGTTCTGCCGTCTTAAAACCATCATTCATCCTGATAAGTCACGCTAATTAAATGGGAAGTGATACGGCAAGCCGGACTTCTGTGACTTTGTCCGAATCTGGGCCATCAGCGGTAAAGCGCGAGCTGGCCATTACGACTTTGTCCGAGTCTGAACCGCCAGCGGTAAACTGCGAGCTGGCCATTACGATTTTGTCCGAGTCTGGGCCACCAGCGGTAAACGGCGAGCTGGCCATTACGACTTTGTCCGAGTCTGGGCCACCAGCGGTAAACGGCGAGCTGGCCATTACGACTTTGTCCGAGTCTGGGCCACCAGCGGTAAAGGGCGAGCTGGCCATTACGATTTTGTCCGAGTCTGGGCCACCAGCAGTAAACGGCGAGCCGGCCATTACGACGCATATCGTCTCCCTTCGGATTGAGAGCTGACTTACAAAGGCCGCTGTTTCCGGCCAAGTGCGCGTCCACTGAACCCGGACACCTATTGTTTTACTCAAACTGATGCTACAAGTAGAGTTATGAATGTTCACTTATTATGACTGTGCGCTTAATTTTTGTCACCCGGGGAATTTTTAAATGGAGAATCAGCAGAACGTAATAGCATTGCTCCCGATTATTCTGCTCAGGCTTGTTGGGAGCATTCGACCACGTCGTTTTCTGTTAGGATGAAAACGGACCATTAGGGATCATCGCAAGTTAATGACTTCCACCAGGTGCCCTACAATCGTGCCCAGACGTGCATCACTAGAAGCACGAAATCAGCATGGTGATCACAAATTGGAACAAAGCTTTCAGAGATCACAAAATTTATGGGCCGTGGAGCGCAGACCGCTCCCGTTTTTCAAACATGCCACGAGGGGTTTTCGACATCATGTGGGTTACGATGGTGCATGACTTTCCTCGTCACATTGAAAAGTGTGACCTCAAGCGGACACCAGGACTCGACTTTGTCAGAAGTCACTATGATACTAAAATACACCAAAATGCGCACCTTGGGGGGGGGGGGGGGAGGGGGAGCTAGAGTCTCGGGCGAGGTACTGGCAGAGCAGCAAGCCAAGTTCTCTTTTGGTCGGGCTCTCACGCACTGCGTCCCCACGCAACCGAATGGAAATCAGGGCCTATCACGACACTTTTGGCGGGAGCGAAAGTGAGATCTGTTTTATATTGTTACGTTTGAACGTGAGGAGTGGAACCGAACATCTAAGGACTCGAAAACCTGCCCCATGATGGCAATGGCCTGAGCAAGGAAATCTTTACTCAAAAGGAAAAGTTGGACATCGTCAGGGTACGGGACCACGTGCTCCTGAGAGGTGTAAAGGAGTTAAGGAGAGGTGTAGAGGAGAGAGTTGTCTGTTTCTTTATTTTAGTTCCAAGTATCACTGAGAATAACTTTCAACGTATCAAATGTGATCGGTGTATAAGTCGCTGAACTGAAATCAGGGCATCTCTCCAGAAATACTAATAGGACAGAAGGCAGCCGCCGAAAGTAAGCGTCGAGGGGTTCAAGCATCAAGCACCAGCTGCCACCGACGTCACCCCACCGCCTCACGCCGCGGTTCTCAAACCTTCATGTCAGCGAACTTGGAGCACGTCGTAAGCATGTGGCCATTGTACCGGTTTGCGTCGGGGTTCCCGCGTTGTTTGCAGAAGTTTATATAATTCTGAAACACTGATGGAAAGGCGTCTCTGGAACATTTTAAACATTGTGAGAGCAATGGGAGCGTTTCCCGAGCCCCTCCAGTGTCCTATTCAATGACGGTATGATACTGAAACATTCCTAAATTCTTGCAACGCAGAGGGTTTATTTGCGCAATGTTCTGGAACATTTTGAAACGATGTCAATCTCTGGAGGTTTTGTAACCTTGCAAGGTCGCTGGTGACTATCATCTTTCTATATTTTTGCGTTTTTTTATGACAGTGGTGTAACCTTTATTCAGCCTGGCAGGATTGCTAAGAATTTTCGCTCAGCATCGTACTGCGCCTTTTGTATCTGAAGTCTCCACTTGTACCTGAAATTTGTGACGCACCTTAATGGCAAAATAAAATAGTTGGCTGTTTTGTCGGAGTTTTGTTTTGAGGCAACTCTTTCGAACTCACTGTGTGATATCGTTGCGCTGAGTACGTGTGATAATTTGCTCCATATGCGGTTGATATTCGGTATAGACGATCTTCGGAAAGATATTCCATATCGAACAAGGTTGCGACATGTAGCGAAGCAAATTCAGGCCATGGCTGTTGACAAAGGCAAGTTTAGAGAACCTTTCATGCTGGTGCGACAATGGGGTTTTAGACAAAGTCGCGCCACTTTGGGATGGTTTCTGAGATAGCTAGACAAGTGAAGCGATACTTGCAACTAAATCTACGGTTCCTGCTGCAGAGTGTTTGAAGCTAAGCTCGAACCACACACCGTACGACAGTGAGGCAAATGATGTTTCAAATGAGCTAGATCTCCCCGCCACATTTGCCAGTTAGCAAGCGCGCTATGATAGGCCAGATCGCGTTTCAGATGTGCTCTTAATCCAGTTTTTTTTACAAGTTACGTTCAATTTTACAACGTATGTTCTGTTTCGTCCGTAAAAATGACGGGCGCATTAGATGGTGCTGGTGATTTTTGTCTCCGACAATATCTTGCTTTTGGAATTTGCTTCCAAAGTGAAACAATGCCGTGGTGTTGTTGAAGGCGATGGTTTCCACTGTTAACGTGTGGAATAACTTACCGTGAATATATGTCTTGCGCGAAGGCACAGTGATGCCAGTGGTAGGACAGAAAGATATTGCAGATATTTGAATGGAAAGTATTCCATACGCTGGTTGGATAATATTTATGTGATGCAGCGGGTTCAAGCACGGCACTAATCGTGTTCTAAGTTCCGCTACGGTTTCGATGTGACCCGAAACGACATGCCCAATCATCATCACCACGTCCTGCACCACTACTGATCTAGATTTGGGCCAAATCGTAGGGCTCTGGGTCATCGACAAATATAGACATGCACCTGCGCAGGCAAACATAGAATGTTTGCCCGCCATTTGCCATGTTTGTCATAGAAATAGAATGTTACACCTTGTTTGGCCTTACTGCCATGCGGAGTACCGACAATGTTTGGCTTAGTGTAGGGGCTAAGCCGCACGTGTGGGAGACCATTGGTACGGGTTCGGTTCCCTCCACGGCCGCCCTTCGTGCCATGAGAGACAGGCCACGCCATATAGCCCCAACAACTGAATGCGTCGCATAACCCAACCACGTTGGCATGCGGCTAGAGCTTTTGAAGTCGGCCAAAAGCCATCCGTATGATCAAACTGAGCAGCTTCACTAGAGACATGACGTTAAGCAAGGTCATGGGGACCAAGCAGCTATTCATTGATCTTGAAAGATCTGGGTAGACATGTGGTAGTCAGGGGTTGACATGGGGAAACGGTGACACCATCGTAGTCACCATATCGAACACCACTTATCACACGTTTGAGCAGCATCTTGTGGTTCCAGTTTTCTGTGTCCTGGAAGTTAGGCGACCCTCTGCAAGCTGCAGTTGGTAAAGTGGGTGGAAGTGGGATCGACGCACACCACGATTCTCATCATGTTGAACACTTTTAGTGCCAGACGTTTGAGCGAGATTGAACGTGACCCCTGTTCGAAAGTGAATATCAGGGACGAATGTGGAGCTGACAGACGTTTTAGGTCGACGGTGTTCTGCCAAGGGACTTGTGCGATGCTTTGAAGACCTCTGTACCTGTCTTATGATTTGCCTTGAAATAATGTCATACCTGTCTGGCCGAGTGTACATGGGCCTATGCTTTGTGGCGCAGTTCTATTTTGGGATAAAGTGTGTCAACTAAGATTGTGTTCTGGTCTCGTTTCAGGTTGATCAGCGCCGCCATTTGCACGTTGATGGTGACGATCATCTACTTGGGGCTGGAAACATTTTACTACAAAACAGCATACTGTGGATTCACAACTTTGTTTCCGATCATTATATCAGGTAAATCGATGGTGTCATTGGCTAAAAGAAGTCATCGCGTTTAAACACTTGACGAGAGCAAGGAAAATGACATTATCACTGCTAATGTAATATTTATTGATATGATAAGGATTTGGTTCGACAAAAATGTGTTAATACCGTGTCCGTAATGTCCATTGTACTGCGTTTTTAAATCGAATAATGTGAGAGGTGTTATACCACAGAATCAACACCGGCAGCGCGGCGAAAAGGGACAAATGTAGTTTTATTGGCCCTCATCGCCGCATGGCCAATGGCATAGCATTATTTTAGCGGCGTTTTATGGCGTCATGGATGCCTGGGCGACCTTGAAATAGTCGACAAGGAAATAATTGTCACATCTGGGTGGGTGTGAAACTCAGAAACTGGAGGTTTTGGTCTTTAGACGGGTGAACTGCACTGAATTATCTTCAACATGGTTATTCAGCTCAAAAACCCATGGCAAAGTGAGGCACCCCCTTCAAGGTTCGAGTACCCCGTGAATCACGACAAGAACAAGTTAACGTTCCGTTATTGCCATCATCGGCCTCGGAAATGGTCTAGCCCATCCGTGGCGGGCGATCATTGATCAATTCAATTCAATGTTCAACGTTTCACTTCTCCGTGGCCTCATGATCGCTTCACCGCTAAGCAGTTGAATCACAGTCCATAACCTGTCTTTACGAGGTCACGCTCGATCCAGAAACTGAACAGTCCGTCCAGGGCTTTCGCAACCCACTACGTACGTTGATTTCCACATAGTTCTGTTATTTCGTTATCCTGCCGCCGCCCCGGCCCGTGCACATTGACACACAAGCGAAGGTCGCCTGCCGCCCATCATACATGTCCGTCAAGTTAGCGCCATATTTGTATCCGAATTCAATGTCTAGTTCAGGTTTCCATTAGATTTCTCACATGGTCAAATTCACGGAGTTATCCACGAATCTGCAATCCTCTCGTCACCGTCTCTTTGTTTGACCTTTACAGGTCGACAAAAGATCAAAACCTAGCTAACCTGGCATTTTTATAAGCAGTTTGATTTATAAGTTCGTATGTAATTCATTCACATATTTCATTTATTCATTTCATAAATTTCATTCATCTAAGAAATCCAGCAAAGTGGGTATCATTTGCCCAATATGATGCCGACTTTCGTCAAATCTACAGAAACTCTTAAGGTCAATGTTGCATACCCGAACATTTCTTCACTTATGAAGTAACTGCAACAAAAGGGTGTCGTATCGATGCTCGTGATGTCCGCTTTCGTCGCACTTGTAAAACTATCACAGAAAACGTGGTATCCCAGCATTTATTCGTTTACCAAAATTATGCAACAAAGAGGGAATAATTTTAATGCTCGTAATGTCTGCTTTTGTAACAGCCGCAAAGACTAACTTTCAAGGTCAACTGTCAAGATCACACAAATCGTGGTACCTTGTCATTCATTTGTGTGTCAAAGAAATGCAAGAAAAATGTGGTCATCATAATGCTCAAGATGCCCGCCATCGTCACATTTGCCAACTACAAATTCCAAGGTCAAATTTTTAGGTCATAATACGCGGTGCCGTAGAAACTATTTGTAATCAAAGAAATACGACAAATGGAGGATCATAATGGTGCTCGTGATGTTTACTTTCGCCATACACAGAAAAAGGAGCGTTCAAGGTAACATAAAACACGGTACATTGCTCTTTTTTTTGTCTATTCAAGAGATACAACGAAACAAGTATTCATGTTACTCATGGTGATATCGATATCGAAGATATCGAACCCCGTACCTCCGGTTTCCCACTGCGCGTGTGGGAAACCAGAGGTACTGGGTTCGATTCCCCGCGGTACCCGCCCTTCCTGCCAGGGTGAGAGGCAGGCGACGCCATATAGCCTCAGCAGCTGAGTGCGTCGTAAAGCCCCAATGACACACACACACAAGATCACAAAGGAGTGTCCAGGCATTTATTCATTTACCAAGCACAGCAACATGGGTAACATAGCAATGGTAGTGGTATTCACTTTTCCACCTAAGGACTTTCAACGTCAAAGTCAAGGTCACACCCAATGCGTTTCCCTAGCATGCATTGGTTTACCACAGAACTACAACATAAGTATCGTAGCGATGCTCATCATGTCCACTTACATCACGTCTAAAAAACGTAAGTCAAGATCGAAGGTCGATGTCACAGAAACGCGCTGCTTTGGCATTTATTCGTTGACGAAAGAAAAAAAACAGAATGGGTCCTGATCAGAAGTGAGCCTCATAATGTCTGTTTTCGTCACACATGAAAAACAACCTTCGGGGTCAAAATGTGAGGTCCCGGAAAACACCGTTCCCTGGCATTTAGCCGTATGGCAGACAAATTAACAAATCAGTATCATCGTGATGCTCGTGATGTCCACTTTTTTTATTCTGAGAAAAATAAGTTAAATGCCAGAGGTCAAGGTAACGCAGAACGTTACCTGGCAGAGCGCTGTACCATGGCATTCCTTTTTCTAAGAAATGCAACTAAATCGTGTCGTATTAATGCTCATGATGTCTGCCTTCGCCCGCTTGTTCGCCTTTGCTTCAGTTGCTTTTTTAGCGTAAAAGTTTCAGAGTGTCCCTCCTCTGTGACCTTGATCTTTGACCTTGAGATGAAATTTTTGAAGATGCGACGACAGACATGGCGAGAAGCAAGATAATGTCCGTCAAGTTAGCATCGTATTCGTTTTTGAATTCAACGTTGAGTTCATGTTTCCACAAAATTTGCCCCATAGTCAAACTAATTCAGTTATTCACAATCCCGCAACGTTTGTTTTCCATAAGTCACTTATTTTAACCTCTGCTGGTGATTAAAAGGTCAAAACTAGGTTGTCTTAACATGCCTTAGGTTATTCAAACAAATCCAACAAAATGGGTATCATGTTGATCCTTGAAATGTCGACTTTCGTCATATCTACAGAAATTCACTGTCAAGAAATCGATCTAGGTCTAGATCGGTCTGGTCTAGAAATCCGTCTGAAGGATTTCTGGATATCAGGGGCCGAAATCCTTGTCAAAGATTTCAATCGAAATTCGACGCATGAAAATTAAGTGAACGAGACGACTATGATATGATAAATTATGCATGTCGGGCTCATGGTATATATGGTTTATGATATTGTGAATAGGTTTGTGGTTTTGTTGGCACGTGCATGTCCACACCATCAAATGACAACCGTGCTGTCCTCAGCGGTGACGCTCGCATGGATAGCGTGTGCTCCACGCTACTTGAAGACGCGCGAGATCGACGAAGAGGAGCTGATGAAAGTGATGCTGCCGCGCAGGAAAAAGTGGAACAAGAAACGAGACTGATCTGCCCCGAGCCTCATCAGCGCCAGCATCAATGGGCGCACCGGCCACTGTCGTTTGCTTGCCATCGCTAGTCTCTGATGTCACGCTCTTAGTACCCAACGCGTGTTCGTCGATTTTATTGACATCCTTTTCGTCCGTGCGTGTTTTGTTTGACTTGCCGGACAGTTCCTTTCGTGATGGTTGCCGGTATGGCTACAAGACGCCGTTTGCGGCGTGGGACGAGAGAATGAACGGGAAAGTGTGGTGCTATGCACGTAGTTTGAAAATGTAACGGAACGGGGCACGTGCGTTTTGGAACCAGGGCGAATGTAGACACCTTAATGCATCGCAATGCTCTTTTGTCTTGCGGTTAGCAACCGGAGATCAACTGATCAGATCCGCTTATGTTGTACGTTCACGCTCGAATTCGCAAATAATGTTGTTAATGCCCTCGACTTGATTGCCGTTGTTCATAACACGGAGTGGTAAGGGGAAAGGGCGATGCGCCTTCTCCTGCCGCTTCTAGACTTCTGAGAAGAGCCTGGCCTGAAAACAACAGTTGACTGATCTCAGCGGGATCGCACTATTGCTAGTCAGTTTGATATTGCTAGGGCAATTGCTGACTCCGCTAGGTCGGGTCAAATGTAGAATTTCCTTGGAAGTCGAACCTCTTCAGGTTAACATGCTCATATGTACGAGACCATGCCTCGCAACAACACGAAACTTAGGCGTGCTCCCTGTATATATTTTAGTAAATTGTCATGCGGTCATGTGTATTTTTGACATTCATGTGCGACGTAGGGTTCCGTTTATATAGCCAGTGCAGGCCTACCGCGCGCATGCCGCGGAATGGCCTGTTGCCGCTGGGTGCCCACACCGGCCGTGGGTCGCCGTGCAATGTTCTTAAAAAAACGTCTCACCTCAGAAACCAGATGTGCTAGGGTGATGTTTTTTGTGTCAAAAGAACCCCGGTGGCTGCCCCAGAGACTTCCGAAAATTGGGGCGCGATTGCACATGACGAAGACGTAACCTCAAAAAACCATGAGGGTCGTACCGCCTCCATCTCCCTCCTATCAGGGCGTGAGCCAAAGGAAATGTTTCACATTTGTATCGGCTTTTGAACTTAAATGGCCATTTTGGAGATCATTTGTTGCAGTTCACAGCACTGCCCTTCTTAACGCCTAACGCCTTCTAGTTTCTGAGCTACGCGCCTGGGAAAATGTGCAGGCTATTTCGTGCGGACTATAACAAGGTCGCGCAAGTATCTATAACGTCATAATAATGTCATTTAAATCATGGCATACCACTGGCCATGCGACGATCAAGGCCAAAAAAATCGTTGAGTTGTATGTCTAGAGTAGTTTTGCCACTTAAGAGTAGATCAGTTACTTAGAACTAAGCTTTTTTGATATGTGATGCTCGCTTCAGTATCTTTAAATGTGGAACACTCAACTTTGTTGTAATTTTCACAATTCTGTAGTGCCGTTACACACTTTCGCAACCAACGTTGGCCTCTTTTCTTTGGCTTTCCTTGGCTGCTTACTGGCGTCGCTCTGGGCCAGGCAACGTTGAGCTCGCCTGAAGTCTTGCAAACGCTACATTGTTCTGTACCATGCTTCTGATTTCCCCCTGTATCGCCTGCTTACATGAGCAGCCTGAGGGGGGCACGTGGCTGGTTGCATGCGTGGACCCACGCCAGGAAATAGGTTGTACGCTCTGTCTCTCGTCAAGCGGTGATGATAGTGTCGTAGCGACCCTTGTGGAAATCGCAACCGTTTTTTACGTGTTCATCGTTTTTCGCCGGTGACAATTTTTTTTTCGTAAATCCGATGTCAAATTGTTATCCACCTAAAATTTGGTGGGTAAATGCTGCCCACGGTTATGCTACAGTTTTACAGCCAGCAAGCATGTTGCGTGCAAACATCTTGAATTGGTAAGGTCGTAAATTTGAAGGAACTATGTCGTTTGTCGTGGAGCACTTCCTGATCCCATAAACGGTTGTTGCAAAGGCATAAGCGCTATAATGCATGCTTGTCGGAAGTGGGCCACTGAAGCCGTTTTTCCAGCTAGATGACATTACATCAAGGCACAGGCTCAGGTCTTGCTCCCATAAGGTGTAATCCGTGTTTGCATAGCTGTTGTGATGATGCACTAACGGTTATCGCGATTTGGTTATAATCGATGCACGACGTCTTTTTTCGGTTGCACGGTTATCCTGAATGGCATGTCCATTGTCAGTGAGATCAATTCGTGCTATTGTGTGCATTGCCATGTAGCCATTGGGCGGCGTTTTTATTCCGTGTATTGGTATCATTCATATTGTTTTGTGGTGTGACCCTACTTTGCGCCGCTTACCCTACGGGTTTTTTGTTGTAGGATTTTGATCATTTTCCCTTGTAGTAACACTCATTTGTTTTGGTCTTTATTGTGGTTTTGTATCCAAGAGCAGCACTGAACAAGCGCCAACGCCGGTGGATTCCTCTGCGAATTGCTGGTGAAATGTGATGGATCCGCCCAGTCCAGTGTGCCTTAGGTAGTGTGACGTTCTATGAGGCGACTAGAACGTCACGTGCATTTGTATTGTATCTTTACGCATGGGGACTTTTCGGAGGTTTCGTACCGTTTGTTTTCAATCATGTTTCTTGAACCTGTTTTGAACATTGGTTTAGTTTTGTGACATCTGCACCATTCAAAAATCCTGGTTGGAAAGGATGTCTCCAGCCGTCTCTGCAGCTCAGTCTGTCGAGCGTTGTACACTGATCACTGTGTAGTAGACACGCTGGTTCGGACCTCCGAAATCGTGTTTGTGGTAGTCTTTTCAACGGTCAGCTGAAATGGCGACTAGTCAAGAGAGGTAGGCTGAAGCGGGTCGCCGTCCCATGGCATCGATATGTTTCGTTACACGTGCCCGTGTGGCCGGTTGAATGCAACGCGTTCCGATGGAGTTTTGAGTCAATTTGACCCTCATGCGATGCAGAACCGAGGAAAATAAATACACCAATTTCACAACGTATGTAGGGATCTGCGTAAATTCATTTGTGTCCGACTTGCGGATCTCTAGGCTGTAACCTTCAGGTCTTAGAAGGTAAAACGAGGGCAAATGCTGTGTCCCATAGCATGATCAGAACGCACAAATTCGCCTGCTAGAAGGAAGATCGACAACGAGATGGAGCCCGCCGCACTCGTGTTGACCGCTTTATACCAGCACCCGCGCTAACGCAAACAGTATCCCCACCAGACCCTATTCTGGCTCCAGCACTGGCCGGCGCAGACACCGGAACAGGGGGCACCGGATCTTCGTTACGCGGGTCTGAGCTCACCGCACAAGATTTCTTACTGCTTGCGCGCTAGCTAAACTTGTGGTGACCTTGCTCGTGCCAGTGTTTCTCGCGAATCAGAGAAAGATATCTTGTCAGCCTGCGGCTTCTGTTTTCCAGTAACTCGCACTCACATCACAATGTATAAGTGCCCAACCAACAGCAACCTTGCGTCTTCAGGCCCAGGGAGCGCGTGAGCATGCATGGAAGCGAACGGTTCGCCGTATATTCGACCATAAACGGAAACAAGTCCTAGTCACATTTTATGGAAATTATGTGATAATGAATAACTGAGAAGCGAGTACGACATCGTGTGATGGTCGGCTGAGCCAATCACAGAGCGTGGTATCATCGCCTTGCGATCACAAAACTATCTCAAGTAACAGATGGTTGGTGAGGCCCGGATGGCATGTTGTAGAAGGAAGCAGTGAATCGCGTTACGGATTTTATGCATGGTTTGTGTTCGACGGAACAGATGACATGTGGTGAATGAGGCCTTTCCTTAGAATTATTGAGAGTCTTTGCTGCCGTGAGATACAGCTGCTATATCACAGCGCGAGTTCCTTTAAACGCTCGTCGTTCTCATTGGTTAATGTAAACATATCGGTGCGAGATGTAACGCGCTGATAGTTGCGCAGTTGATGCACATCCGTGCAGGTTGCATTATACACTACAGAGTATTATTTAATTCTAGTACATCTTCAAAAAGCATCATTAATGTGTACAACTTGCTCTATATGGTTCGCGATGAAACCTTAGCAGACGATGACGCTTGCGCTTGATACCAGCCTGCGGTGAGCGCGGACCAATTGACACCGGGGAGTCATTTGGTTGGTGTATTAATGCAAAACGTTAAAAAGTTAAAGCTCTTGTTCAATGTGCGGTGAGACGACATGAAAAGTACTAGCATGGAAATAAACGCACTAATGCTAATGCGACATGATTTCAAACCTATTTACTTAAAATGTATTTGTTGCATTGAGCGGTCAGTTGCAAAAATTGGATATTCTTTTCATCGCGGGCTTGTAACCGCGACTGGCTTAGTACAGACGAAGTGTAATTGCACAGTGAGAGTCACAGGACTGCGACCTAGCATGGGCCTGCAACTGACGACAGTCCAGCCGGATTCGCTCGGTGCGCGGCGGGCCGGTGAGGGACGCTGGCGCGGCGCGGCGGCCGGGACCCGGGACGAAACTCACTGAGCAGAAAATTGCGTTTCGTACGCATATAACGCTAACAGCCTGGGGTGCTGGCAGAAGTCACGTAGCCTTGGTGAAGGATGGTGAGCTCCACATACAAGGTTACTGGCTATTGTCCCAGAAAGTGGAACACTACACCTCACTGTTTCGTCAATGTCTGATGTAGTTACATTGCCAATTTAAGTCAAGAATTTTTGCTTCGTTTTGACCCACGCCACGGGTTATGTTTTTATTTTGTTGAACAAGACGAATGTGTCGTGTGTTTCGAAGTGCAAACGTGTTTTTTATTTACTGGGAGTTGTGTGTCGCATTCATCAAAGTAGTGGTTAAAATATACACGATGTAATGATGGGATAGTCGATTGGGCTATGGGGAGGCAAAGGATGAGAAGGACGAACATTTGAGCCTACATCGTGTGTGACGAACAGTATTTGATGACTAGTGCAAGTTGTTGCTGACTGCGCACAGGCAGTGGCCGAACATCGGCTGACACTAAAATGCTTCTGCTCGCAGGCTGAGTGTGGTTGATGTGGTGATGGTGAGAGGTTACCGCTGCGCATATGCGGCGGCTAAGCATAAGCGAATGTTAAAATGTCTGCTCACGGACGGGGTGGCAATGGTGACAACATGTGATGGGATAAAACGCTATCCTATTTATGTACATTTTCTCCAAGGTGCACAAAGTATATTTCGCTTGCACATGAATTTACAATGCTAAAAATATTTATTTTTGCCTTTCTAGCACTTGTGCCACGATTTTGTTGCGATGGCAGCCTGCCTGCTATCCAGAAACAAGAAGGCTAAAATGTTATGTTAACTAATGGCTCTTAGGCCTTCCTGCCTTTAGACGTCAGATGTGCCTAAACAAATCTACATTATTTTCCTTCTTACTGTCAACTTTTGATGTATTATATGTCTGAATTATATCGGTTAATTACGCGTCGCGCCACGGCAAGAAACCTTCACTTATTTGATAGCTTTGCAGCAGATTCTCTCTACGAGTGGCGTTTTTTATTTACAGGAATATCCGCACGTCCGCAATGACCGCTGGATGGCAGCGCGGTCTGGGCGCGATCCGTGGCCTTGAACTAGCCTAAGCAGCAAGTGCGGCCGGTCACCGGGGCCGCCCGGTGCTACCTGTTCGCCGGCCGCAGGGACGTACCCAATGGGAGAGCCAAAGGAGCCTCCTCTGCCCCGGGCCATGGGGTGTACATTAGATAATGGACAGGAGGCTGGTCCAAGCCTCGGAGGAGGATGGTCTAAGCTTACAGGATTTAGGTGTGTCTTCCCCCGGGGAAATTTAGGCCACGTGCCTGGTCTGTCGTCACAAACTGACGTAACGACGGAGGCATTCCGGCCGCCTGCTTAGTACCTGGATTATGTGGCACCATCCTGTCTGATAACGACCCTGTAGCTTTACGCCAAACGATCGGCTCCCAAGTAAATAAGTGACGCGAAATCCAGTCAGAGACGCCTCAAACCCAGACGGAAAGAACCCCTAGCCCACACGAGTAGACCCCTACGCTCGGCTCCCTTTCCCAATCCTTCGTAAAGTCATGCCCCAAACTTAAACGGGGAGGACCCCAAGCCGAGGTAGAGGGGCGCACCAGACTCCGAGCAAATCAGCATCCAGCTAGGACTTGGCTCGTCTGCAGCAGGTCGCGATGTTCCGGCGATGCCCCACCGTCCGGGCGCCGGCGTCGCCCCTGTCGGCGGCGCCCCGGCCGGGCCGGGCCGTGTATCGGCTGTGCATCAGTGCCGCGGGCGGCCGGCGGCCGGCCGGTCCGCCCGGACCCCGTCTCGCGCAGTGTGCTGACGGAGGCTGGCGCCTACTGCGCCGCCATGATACGCTGCAGTGGTCTCCTGGGCGTGTGTTTGAGGCGGTCCCAGCCGCCTCCCGCCGCCCGCTCCGTCTCTATCGGCGTCATCGGAGCCGCCTTCGACAAGGGTCAGGTCAGTGCTCCCAACAGACGTCAGGTCGGCTAAGTGATACCACAGCTCAGTGGTTGACTCTAGATACTCGCCTCACCTTCCCTGGCCCACCTCCCGATGTGATGACGCATGTACCTCCACCGTGGAAGCCATCCACACATTACGCAGTGCCTTTCCCAGACCGCTCAGCCCCCCCTACGCGGCTCAAGGTTGTGGCACTCGCCTTGCGCCGCGTCTTCAATACTGCGCAACAGCTGTCCGGGCCACCTTACAACTGGCTTTTAGACCTTAATTTAAGTGAGCTTTGCCACATGTGGAAGTGGTTCTGAACTAAGACAACCGTGTGTATGATCCTTCTCTGCAATTCACAGCCATGTCCTTTTAAGGCTTAGAGTCCTCTTGTTTCGGAGCTAGATGCTTGTAAATGTGTGCTGCCTACAAGGCGCCGTCTGTGGGCTAAGTCACCCAAACATGTGTGGCATCATAGGCATGCCATACGAGCACCCCACCTCATTACCTGTGTTATGCTCACGGTCAAGACAAGTATGGCCACTGAAATATTGATGTTTGCGGGAATGCATCACCAAGTGTCACGACTGAAGACTGGAGGGAAGCAGGCGCGTAGAAGTACCACAAGTGAGTCACGCCGCCCGCTTCAGCGGCAACTCTGGCACGGGAACCCTGGCAGCGATGCTTTCGTCACAAAAACATTCCATCACGTAATCGAAGGCTGTCAGATTTTGCTGCTGATTGCATGCCCCGATCACGTACCGTGTGTTGCCATAAATAGCACAGCTAGTTGGGCGACTGTTAGATATGACGAGCATGGGGCTGATAATAGAATAACCGGAGAGAAGCACCATAGCAGAAAATGCAAGTGGAAAAGATGCTATTGCGGTAAAGTATGCATGAACTCCACGAGAAGAGTCCGAAACACATGTGCATACACTTGCTTGATGAATTTGCACCCAAGTCAACAACGCCACCATGCGGCGCATATAGGAACCCCAATATTTGCATTTGTTCGCTTGAAATCCATCCATGAGGCGGCGTTTCAGGCCTTCGGCGAGCCACAACACAAGCAAAATGATAATGAATTGTGATGATGCGAAGCATGCTATAACATGCAATATCACGAAATAGTCTCTAACATAGGATACTATAAAATACAATACGATCAAATATGATATGACAAAATACGATACGGAAAATACCATACCACGAAATACGGTACGAAGCCAAAACGATAAATCCAACAGATGATCTAAACTGACAACAGAATACGCCAAACCTACAGTGCACACACAAAGATGAATGGAAATAAACTGTAAACACATGTGATCCGCGTTGAATCGCAGAGATCAGACACGTGCATACATGTGGCGTGCAATTACACAGGTCACCAGCATGGGCAGAAAACTAGACGCATGATCTAACATTTGCGTTTTGAGGTGCGATTTTTTAATCTGTCGGAGATGTAAAGATAGTGATGGTCGGAGGCAGGCGGGCCGAAGTTGCCCCGACGCGATAAGGAAAGACTCGCTGGTGGCTTT